TAATAATGGTATCATACAGTGAACAATTACTAAGAATAACATAAGGTAATGTTACATACCAATAGAAAAGAATTCAATGTTAAATTGTTTCTTCACGCCATCTTTTAATTTTTCGACATTTTTGTACGTTCGATATTTTTTCTTTCAATATTATTGCCTTTCGATTATTTTTTTTCGATTTTTTGTTCTTTCGGTATTTTTGTCGATCTTTTTCATTTCGATATTTTCTATTTCGACTTTTGTTTTTCGACGTTTTTTTTCGACCTTTTTAGTTTCGACGTTTTTTTTCGACCTTTTTAGTTTCGACCTTTTTTTATATATACCGTGATGTTTTGTGCCCAGGTGAAATTGTTTCTCGAGTTATCTTATCTCAACCTTTACTTGCTTAGTCATGTAATAAAATCTAATTCACTCGTTGTTTTCTCTCTGTCGAAGCATTAATCGTTCTACAACGAAAATGTCGACATCAAACAGCAAGTCACCACCTAAAAAACATGTTCTAGCAAAACGGTTCAGAGGTTTAGATGAAAGCACTTCGTAAGTTCGACTTCGATCTTCGAAGATCAATTTACAGTTTTATTTTGTCTAGGGCCCAATTCACCACTTTGGCCGTCACTCATCAAGCGGTTAATTTAGGACAAGGCTGCATTGACTATGAACCACCACAGTTTTTTATTGATGCGTTCAAGGAAACACTCAGTGATCCAAACGTCATGTTACATCAATACACACGAAGTTTGGTTTGTTGGAGTGTTTCATCAGAAATATCATTTACACTACATTATCCAATAGGGTCACAAACGATTGGTCGATGCACTTGCAAGAGTCTATTCCCACTATTTTGATCGAAAGATTAATCCACTTAACCAAATTCTAGTGACAACTGGTGCCAACTCGTCTCTCTTCAATGTCATCAACGGCTATGTCAATCCTGGCGATGAGGTGAACTGTTTGTTCTCAAGTTCTAGATCATTCTAATTGACTCTCTCAAAATTTAGGTCATTTTGATAGAACCATTCTTCTTCTCCTACGAATCTATGGGACGAGCAGCTGGTGGAGTTACACGATGTATTCCATTGAGACCGGTATTAAACAAAATTTTATATCAAATTCATATAACAGATGAAAGTTTGTTCTCAGACGTTAGAATCGGCACAAGGTGGCATATCGTCAAGTGCTGATTGGACACTCGACTACGAAAAACTTGAATCTATGTTCAATGAGCGTACTCGTCTCATCATTGTCAATACACCAAATAATCCTCTAGGAAAGGTTCGTTACTTGATATGTAAAGCAGAGTCTGACTTATAATCGTATAAACCAGGTTTATACACGCGCAGAATTACAACGCATAGCTGATTTATGTCAGAAGTACGACGTTATTTGTATTTCGGATGAAGTTTACGAATTTATGATTTACGGCAATGAGAACAAACACACTCGAATGGCAACCCTTCCGAATATGTGGGAAAGAACACTGACGATTGGCAGTGCAGGAAAAGTATTTTCTTCGACGGGACTGAAAATTGGTTGGACCATCGGACCGGAAGATTTGATTGAAGCATGTCGTATCGTTCATCAGGTATTCTTTTTTATAGTGGCACATATTGCAGAATAGATTGTACTGAATCTTGGCACATAGATGAGATGGCAGCGAATTAGAATAGTATATTTTTGAATTAGTCTTGATGATGATTTTTACTCTGGAATATTTTAAGTATTTATTTAATTGTAAACACAGTAAAACTTTTACTATCGATGCTTTATTTAGGTTTGTCTTTCTAAAGAATCACAATAGAAATATTGTAGACCGATTGTACTAACTTTTTTTATTAATAAGGAAAATGACAAATCGTTCTCAAAGTTTACCGACAGAGTATCGTACAGATATACAAATTCTTCATTTTCTTTAAATAAAAACTACGGTAGTAGATACAAGGACGAATCAACACTTTTCTCTGTCGAATCGTGCACATGCAATGTTGATCCTGAATGTGACACTTTTAATTTCTTTAAAACGAGATTTGGATAAGAAATCCACAAAATACTAGCGGATGCTCATCAATAATGGTCAGCTGTCACATTTGCTTGGTCTATTATTTTTCAAACGGTAGAATTTCAGCTATGCTTACATCGTTCTACATAAAATTCTGCATGTTTTCAACGAACTTTGTCTTAAATTCTCGAAAAATGCTGAAACAGCTTTTTTTCTGACACTAGCGGGTTCATTCATGTCCAATTCACAGTTGCCTAAACGTTTGAATTGTTTGAGTTAGCATTTATATCATTCCTTCAAAATAGAACTTCGCATCCTACGACATGGTAATCAGAGGTAGGCAGCACAAAATGTTCTATACTGTGGAAAAGGTCTCATTCGTTTAAAAAAAATTGACGAACGGCCCTATTCGAAATCGACAAGAGAAGTTCTATCGGATCATGTATAATTCGTTTCTTTCTTTTTTGCATTCGATATCAGTAGACAGTTTGATTATGTTTTCGATCGTAGAATGGTGCGTACGTGATTCCGACGGTAACACAAGAAGTCGTCGCTCGATGTTTTGAACATGAAGAAAAACGGTTCAATTTACCTGAATGTTTTTTCAATTCGATTTCAACAGAATTCATCGACAGACGGGATCGACTGGCAAAAGCTCTCTGTAAATGTGGAATGAAACCTATTGTACCCGATGGTGGCTATTTTCTTGTAGCAGATATTAGCGGAGTCGGTAAGGAAATTGTTCAATAGAATGCATACTGCTCAATATTTATATCATTGATAGTCGGAGATCGATTTCAATCGGACGAAACAAGTACCAAGGCTACTAAGTTCGTTATGCATTTAGTCAAAGAAAAAGTAAGAGTAAAAGAAATGGTACAGCTGTTCTGCGATCATAACCGTGCTTTTTTTAGGGACTTGCTCTTTATCCCCTAACTGGTTTCTATACGAGTAATGATCGACATTTGGCAGAAAATTATGTTCGATTTTGTTTTGCGAAAGTAATTTGAAATTACAGCTAGTCATTAATTTCTCTCATCATTAATCCTTTTTTTTTAGAAAGACGAAACAATCGATAAGGCCATAGAAATTCTCCAAAATCTGCAATGGTGATTCTCAGCATTACATGAATAGTTCTACTGTCGATTTTCCAATTGTTTCATATACATTGAAATGAATTATTTTTCAATTGTTTTCAAATAAAATAAATCTTAAGAGTCCGAATTGTTAAATGCTATGTCTAATTACGTCTCAATATTTCTCTTTTTATTGGTAAACACAATACAGATGCAATGTTCTTTATTGCAACTGAATAGAACACAACTATTTGTTGATCGTGTACAAAAACAGCAACCATCTAAAATTGATGTCATCTTGTAGAACGCGGTCATACGATGATACACTACTACTATTCGTACCAACGGTAGGAATGTGAGTGTGAGAGGATACCGGCCGATGCTTATTCGATGCCAATGGTACATTGTTGAGCTGGTAGAAATGAGTGATTACCCTTCCAAGTGTTGGGCAAAAGTTTGCCCAACTAGGGTTGGGTGTGGGTGTGGATATGGGGTATGAGTATATTTCATCTGAGTGAACACTCACAACCACAGCCACAGCCACATCCACACCCATACCCACACCCACCCACACCCACCCACACCCACACTCCATATCGACATCGTCTTATAGGTACTGATGGTAAACCTGGTGGATGGGAAGGAAATTTTGATTCCGGAGGATTTCATGGTGATCGAGGTCATTCAGGACTAATTAAAATTATTTCTCTCGATGATACTCCTCATGACATTCAGCAGAAGCATTTAGTTGACGAACTAGAAAGTAGTAACGGTAAACCAAGACGGCCAGACGAGGCTAGAAAACATACCCGTATTGGTCGTGATTATGTACTTATAAGAAGCTGGATAAATTCTATAACAGCACTGTTTTCCTCTAATACCATAGATAATATAATGGGGGGGGGGGGGGGGGGGGGTATGTTTTTATCCTGACCATAGATAGATGACTCATGGAAATCATAGTAGATTTATGAGTAAATATTTTGATCGAATGTACGAAGAGAAGCTAGTATGACTCATAAAGATAAAGATCAAGAAGTTATACAGAAAATTCATGCTATAAAGGACGGGAGCGTATAAGAAGGCAAATCGGCCCATTCGCATTTTCTTGGCCAACCCTATTGAATCATATAGCAACTGAAAGAGCAAGTTAATACTAACACTTTGGTGCTAGTTTCATGATGTTTTGATCGAATTTTGAAAGCTAAAAGCTATCAACAAAGTAACTCATTTTTGGTCAGTATTCTAATAATCAGTCCTATCATAGTGGATTTAATTTCAGAATAAGTAGACAAGATAAAATAGTTCTGAAATTATGAACTTGATAGCCCTTTGATGGAGCTTGAATCCCATATATAAATCACCAATTAATTGTTTAATTTCATGAGATATATATCCCATGTATTGGTAGGTACATCTTTTTTGTCAGTTGTGAATTACTTGAAAAAGTGACAGACTATTTTACGCGAGATGCAACACGACTCAATTGTTCAAAAATAATTTATTGCTATAGTAAATATGTTACTCAACTTGAAAAACATGTCAAAGACTATTTTTTTCATACAGATATTCGATCATGGTTTACATAATTGTCAATTGTTATTTAAATAAAATTTTTTTTTTTTGAGGAATAAAGATATTAACATAGTGAAGAACGTTATTTTATTTGAAAATATGAATATTTTTAGGATATTTAAGAACGAACAAACCGAATAAGGTGCTATTGATAAAAAAGAATAATCAAAATATAATTGTACCTTCAAAGTAAATTGTTTCAAATAATATCTTTCAATCAACTTGTATTCGATTATGAGGTAGGAAAAACTAGTTCAGGATTGAGAAGAAATACAAAGCAGAGAACTTCAAACAAAAAAAGCTGCTAGCAGAACCGATGAAGCATTGATATGTGAAGATACGAAATAACTATTTTACTAATAGAAGAGTAGATTTAACAATGAAATTTTTTAGTTATGTATATAAACTTATGGTTTCTTCAGTATTCAGAAAAATATAAATATCGTTCTGAATATTTATTTGATATTTTTTCTTAGATAAAACCATTAATGAAACGACTCCTGCAAATAATATATTATTATTTTATTTGTTGAATTATTTATTAGAAAGATAGATCGATAAGAAGAATAAGAAAGGAAAACAAACGATTTAATGGATAATTTTGTAATAGGCTGTTTTCTGTTCTTCATACTGATGTTTTTTTACTATTTTGAATTTTAATTGGTTACAGATATTTTCGATTAAATAATCAGGTATCGTTGATGTTCATTTTATTATATAGCGATGGCAATTAATAGTGTGAATGCTACTCGTTCTTCAAATTTTGTTATTGGTACAGAGGCGCGAGTTTTTTCTGGCCATATTAATGATTTAAATGGTTTGCTATTATTTCTTTAATACATATTCGTTTAATTAACATAATTTTTCTTCATAGATTTTTATTTATATACATCATGGTCGTACAAGAAAGTTTTTAATCTTGCTCCACAATTTACTGAAGCATATTCGAAAGAATCAACGTATGTAATATTTTTTTTTTGAATAAATATAGTTTGTTTTATGCATAGAACATCTGCACAATTAAATGAAACATTTCATGTAGGTGATTATAGTGCATGTACAATAAATGATAAAGATTGGGATCGTGGTGTAATTCGTCAATTAGATTCAAAGGGTTTTGCAACAATCTTTCGAATAGATTATGGTGATGTACAACGTATTCGTGTACAATTTCTTCGGCCATTTAAGATTAATCGTTGCGAAAAATTGATTATACTGTTTTGCAAAATTATTTTGTGTATTAAGAGTGGACGTTTCAAACATACCGTCTGGCTCATCATTGTACATTATCAAATATAATTAAACCAATAAATGGTTGGTCATCAAATGTTATTGATGAATTTCGTGCACAATTAAATAGATCAAATCTTTACGCACGATTTCTCAATTATAATGAAATAAGAGAAATATCAGAAGTTGAAATAAGGGTAAAAGGATCAACAAAAACAGTAAATAAAGATTTTGGTATGATGAAACTTTAAATTTTATTAGATTTTCAAATTTATTTTTCTATTAAATAGAACGATATCAAATGGAACAATCAGCAGTACAAATAAATGATCAACATGTTTATCAAAGTATGTTGATTAAAATTGATACATTTATTATTTTTTTGTCTCTTTTTCTAAAGATATTCCAATGAAAATATTAGATTGTACTCGACCAAATGTAATTTGTATGCTTTATTATATAAGTCCAACTCGTTTTTATGTTTATCTTAAAGAAAAATTTGATTCTCATACAAGTGTAAATAATAAAATTTTATTTTAAAATAAAATAATATTTATATTATTTTAATAGTTTCAAATCGATTTACAAAAATCTATACAAAATCTTCATACATTATCATCACCGGTGAAATATCAAGCAATTGCTGTACAAAATAAGCGTGCTTTATGGCATCGTGCTATTATATTAGGTATGATAGAAAAAGGAACATTTCTTTTTCATTCTCTGCTGTTTTTTTTGGAAAAGAGGTTGCACCTAATCTATTAAACGTCTGCGTTTATTTTTTTGATATTGGTCACATAGAATGCATTACAATAAATAATATTCATCAATTACCACAAGAATTTCGAAGTAAACCAGCATTTTCTATTCCATGTTGTTTATATAATGTATGTCCAATTAATGGTAATGAACAATCAATATGGAAATTAGATGATAAAGTCTATGATGAATTTATTAGACTTATGGTTAATACGTACCGTGAAGTGTAAAGTATATTCGAAACAAGGTCAAATATGTTATGATGTTGAAATTGATATTCCTAGTAAGTGATGATTCATTTAAAGGATAAAATGATTCTTGAAAAGTTAAATTTCGATTGACATTCATTTTATAAATGATGTTATTTTCATATACTGTACAATCTACACATCACATCTCATAAAAAAATCGTATAGGAACGAAAGTCTATTCGGTTCATGGAACTTTACAAATTAAAATATATCTTAAAAAAACCTACGAAAGTGTTTTTTGAGATCCTTGCATGTTATCATAACAAGATAATAAATTAATAATTAAAATAGCAACTCCGATTTGTAGCTATGTTTCTCGCATGGATTGAAAGTCTCATATTGGTTTGCTTATTTACATTTAATATTTTAAAGCACTGGGTAAAAGTGTTCGTATAACAATTACGCACTCGTTTGCTATTCTTTTCGATTATTCTACTGTATTTTTTTATCGATTCTTTATTCTAAATAATTTCTATGAATCAGTGAAGAAAAGAAAGGTATTATTATATCTTCGATGTTTATATATTTTATTCAAACATAGGACTTCGATCGAGATTCTATTTGAAACAAAAAACCAAGACGAGCAAATGAATTCATATAAAACTTGCTTGTCTTCTCTTTTGTTTTAGAAGTAGGAGATCTCAGCGCATTTCTTATTAATAACAATCTGGTTTCTCATGCAACAATGAGCTATTCTCCACGTTCGAATTTTAGTTCAGATCAACCACCACAACAATCACTTGTACGACCACAATTTCTTTCATATGGAATACCTCCTTCAAGAGAACGACAACAACATGAATTTTATGATAATCAAAATACTATGGTACAACAATTACAAACTCGCACATTCAATACGGGATTCCAAAACACTACTGCTCAACAATCTTCGAGTACATTGTAAGTTGATATTATACTTTTTAAATACATCAGATTTAATATTATAATAAGTTCGAATTATAAACATTATTCCGTGGTATTTATTTAAGACAATTAAATAATTAATCTTGACTTCATTTAATGTTATTTCAGATCATCTATTAGCTCATCATTGACTATTGGCACTGTACCACCTGGTAAGATTGATTATTTCTTTTCATTGGTTGTATTAATATATATCTCTTTAGATGATGGATATTATATAATAACACAAATTCGTAGTGCAGCTGAATTTTATGGTCTTTCTCAGGATCATCAACTTGAATTTGAAGTTCTATCTAAAGAACTTGAACGATATTATAATAATTCTGTCAATAATCAATCATTAACTGTACCTGTTATTTTGGATGGTACACCATGTGTTATCGAACAATATGATAAATATTATCGTGTTATAATAAAATAAATTTAAAAGAAAATTTTCTAAGACATTTCTTTCTTTGTTATTTTCTTTTTAATTATACATCGTGAAAATGGATCAAAAGTATTAGTTAAATTAATTGATTCTGGTGATGAAATTGTTGTTAATACATCAGAATTATTACAAATTGATAAAAAATTTTGTACAATACCAGCATTGTTCAAACATTTTATTTACATGGTTATGATGAATCGATAAGTAAAAACAAGAAAATGAATTAATTTATTAAATAAAATTATTTTCCTTTTTTTAAAGCAAAATTCGGTAAATATAACACGTAATTTGAAAAAGTTATTACTTAATCAGTGGGTGTGGGTGTGGGGTGTAGGTGTGGGTGTGCGTGTGTGGGTGTGGGTGTGGATATGGGTGATTAATGGAGAATAACCCACATCTACACCCACACCCACACCCACACACCCACACCCTATATTGATGACATATATCTTCCTAATCATTTTCACTTGAGCATTGTTATATATTTTCTTATTTGCGTCTCTCGATTCTCTCGATTGTTGTTATATATTACCTTTTTGCTTTTTGATTGTGTCATGTATGTCCTCAATTCATTCTTACTGTTCCAATAATCAACAATAACAAGAATCAACTACAGGATAATGCAATTAACTGCAGATCAAATTAAATTAAGTATGAAATATGAACCTATAGTCAGTATAAAAATATGCAACAATAGATGAATCTATTATCGTCATAAATATATGCAATTAAACATGAATTTAAATATGAATTTAATCATTACAAATATCTGCATTCAACATGAATGTGACTTTGAACATGAACTAAATCACCTTAAAAAATATGCAGTTATAGATGAATTTATAATCATCATAAAAATATGAACTTAATCACCATAAAATTTGAACATGAATTTTGAACATGAACTAAGTCACCATAAAATATGTGCTGTTAAACATGAACATATAATCATCATATAAATACGAAATTAAAATGAACCTGTGATCATCATAAACATTTGCAGACGAATATGAATCAAGTCGTCATAAAAAATATACAGTTATATACGAACCTATCTCCATTAGAATGAACCATCATTTTGCAACTGAAATATCGCTTGAAGCAGAAAAATTCGAAAGGTCTCGCGGTACTTATACTTTTGGCTCTAAATTATATTTCTTATTATTTTTCCACATTCTTCTTCTTTTCTTTGTTCTTCTACTACTATCGTTTTTTTCAAGTAAAAAATTTAAAAAAGAAACAGAAAATTATACAATTCAATTATTATTTATATGTTTAGCTTTCTTTAATTACTTATTATAAAACAAAGAGAAATATATATATAGATGTATATATATATATTTATAGAAATCTAATTCTTCTTAAATATACAAATAATGTTGACTTGCTAAATTCAAAGAAAGTTTACATTGTGTTGCATTAACACATAAAGAATAATAAAGAATTAATTATTCAACATTCTAGTGCTCAAGTTATAGATGAACCTATTACAGGTTACCAACACGGTACCGAATTAGTCGGTAACCGGTAAATCGACCTGTCGCATCGTTTCAGACTAGTACCAGTCATCAATACTTCAGACTGGTTCCATCTCTATATCGGGTATGTGATACAACTTGGCACATCAAGTTTGTCACACGACCAGTCGACTTTTCCATATCTAAGGTACTCTTTCTTTAGTACTGTGAGTTACCGATATATCATTCGTTACCGATAGATTGGTCGGTGGAAATAATATTAGCGCTGATACCGTAATTGAAGCTAAATCTTGAACTGAAACCAATATAGGAAACAGAGCATAACTCGGTATCAGAACTCTGTTAAAATCAACTGCTCTCTCACGTACAAAAGGAAGTTTGAAATTTTGTTGGATTAGAATTCTCGTAGTGATCGAGAAGCTATCCCCAGTGATGCCTTAATATATTGTATATTGTCTGCGATGGTCAGTGCAAATCGAAATGGAACCATTGTATTTTGTATATCTTTATGAAAATTTGATTCACTCTCTATCATTGTCTAATCGACTGCTTTCATAATGCATTACAAAAACAAAATCCAAGCATTGTCTTGTGCACATCCTTACGAATATCTAATTCACACTCTCTCTTTATCTAATGAACTCCTCGTAAAATGCATCGTACAAATACGTAAAAAACAAAGTCGTAAAAAAGCAAATGCAACCAGTGTATTGTCCACAAGTTAAAAAAAACATGCTGTTCACTTTCTTTCGGTCTTCAATAGACTGTTTTCATAATGCATCACAAAATAACCAAAAAGATGGATGACAAAAAGCCAAATTCAATTATTCTATTGTGCATATGTTTTCGAATATTCCATTCAATCTCGATCATTTTATAATAAGCTGTTCCCATCATGGATTCCATAATAACCAAAACTATGGTCACTTGAAAAATAAACTAAACCATTGGGTTCTACATATCTTTACCAGTATTTGTTTCACTCTCTATCATTCTATTATAAGCAACGTGTATTATGCATCGCAAAATAAATAAAACAATGATCACCTAAAAGCCAAATTTAACCATTATATTGTGCACATCTTTACCAATATTCTACTCACTCTTTGCCGTTTTATTTTAAGCTACTTGCATTATGCATCGCAAAATAAACAAAACAATGATCAGCTAAAAGCCAAATTTAACCATTATATTGTGCACACCTTTACCAATATTCTATTCACTCTTTGTCGTTTTATTTTAAGCTACTTGCATTATGCATCAAAGAACAAGCAAAAGGATTATAATATTTGATGAAGAAAAAAAAAGAGAATATTGAATTAGAACCCCCTTATGATGTTTCATATAATGAATGAATGGAGAAAAAAAAATCATACTTGGTGATATATATATAAGCAACATTTTGCAGCTATCTCACTCATACAACAGCATCGTTAGATTACACTATCATTCTGAACGTGTATACAGAAGATTTGGCACAAATACAACGAGCAAATGTATGTATTGTGAAAGTGCTTTCTCTTCAGAAGGTTTTTTAAGGCATCAGCATCGAGCGACTTGTTATATCGGCAGGTGTCACCGATACCTATCTGTAGTATTATTTTTGATATCATGACCAATAGTTTCCTGGTAGTGAAAGCGTTCTGAGGTTTGTTAAGAAATGAATAGTTGAAACTAGCTACTATACAGCCACTCTTTTCACAAAGAGTCTGTAGCAGCGATTGACAATCTGGTTTCTCAGTTCCAACGTACAAATACAATCATTCAGTATTGTATTCTTCTATCATTCGTAATGACTTAATGTCGATGAAAATAAAATACGATGCAATATGAAGAACAAGTGCTTGCGGAAGTTTTCTTCGAAGGCGATTTCTTTAAACATATATTTGGCAAAGAATATGTTGAAGAGAATGTCTTTAGAGTGAATAGTTTCAACAGCACAATATTGCCTAGTTTTCATGATGTTCCTTTTACCTTCGATCGCGTTTCGAAAATATTTCCCTACTTGAATAGAAAAAGTCAAGTGGCAGGTATGAGACATCTCATCTCTTGTTAATTTATTTTAAATTTAAATTCTTGGAAAATATATTTAAAATTTGTCTTTTGAAAGTTCAAGTTTGCGAAAGTTGAATTTATTTTAAATTTAGATTTTCCAGAATTAATTTTTCGATTAAATAAATTTTTGTAAATATGAGTTGAGCACCCATAGCAGGTATTCAGAAATGCAAAAGGTCGTATATACTCTTTTTCCCAAGGGAACAATTGGATATGAAACTGGTAGCTAAATAGATAGTAAAATTGAGATCCGAATTGTGACAGAGATGGGCACGATGAGGGAATTCATGATCGAGTTGATACTGGAATTATGATAGCTACCACAAACGAGACACTGATCGAAGCAATGTTTGAAACTCTGAGTAAAGCTGATACAAGGATCCGAACCGATCGTGTCTCGAACTGAGAGGATGGCGGCGCTGATTAAAATTCCGGAAGCACGATTACGAGGCTCATTAACTACCTCAATCGGATCCCAAAAGACTACCCATAATCTAGATCGTATCTAGAGATCTCTTGCTGATGTTGCCACACGTTGAAGACAAGAGTTAAGCCTTGAAGAATCATCTGCTCAGTCGCACTTGTGAAGACTTCCACAGCTCAGAATTCCCAATTTTGGAAGAGGTCTCTTTTGACGACACTATTCTCACCCAGTGCTTTCTTGAAAGAATCTGGATTGATCATGAGAAATACATACCACCTAGATCTACTGGCAAGATGAAATTCAGAGCTCGGTTCACTTCCGGTGATCAGACATAGGATCGCAAGAAGATGAAAATAGGCTTTTCACCTATGTAGCGACATCTCTAGGACAATCAAAGATTTATAGATTAATTTGAAACTTATTCTCATAATCGAATTACTTGGTATCTTTTGGCAGAGAAAAAAATGTTAACTCAACCACTCGACCCACTCTCAAGATAGAACCGCTCCTAAAACACGTTCGAAGATGCTATGTGTTTTGGTATTTTTTTCTGTAAGAATTCGTTTAAAAAACTGTTGTTGTTGTCATATTTTTCGAAGCCGTTTGTACTAGAAATCACCAAATAGTTGCCTCTGTTACATGTGTTAAAAAGAGCAATATCTGAAGTCATCAATTGTGCGCTGTCAGTCACAGCTTACATGGATTAGCTTTTATATGTATGTGACGAGCTAACCTCTGTAAAACAAAGCTACTAGCAGTTTGTTTCCAGTATGAAATATATTTCTCGTTAGTAACTACTAACTTGGTAAGTTACAGACCTGTAGAAATTCGGAACTAGTAATACACAATTTAGTAGTAAGTGATAGCTCTCTAAGTTTCTAGTGGTTGATACATTCTTACTTGTCAAGCTAAGGATATTAGTAAAAACTGCTGACAACTAATTATTACCCAAATAAAAACGCAAGCATTGTACAGGATAGAGATCAACAACTTCATTCAACAAGACGCCTGCTAGCATCCACTTTGCCTAGTTTTTTATGGAGATCAAGGGATTTCATTGTTAACAAACACTCATTAACACTTACCAGCATTCACTAGTAGTCCTAGCCATTATTGTGGCAAATGCCTATTGTTAATATCTCTCTGCACAATGTCGAGTGTCTTCAAAAGGAATTAATGTAAAAGAAAGTGAAGTTCATCACACAATGTGTAGAGGAACATGGTTGCGACGTTAATGTTCACTAGTG